TGTTCATCAGACTCGGCGAGTCGTATGAAGGCTCAATCGATGTTCATATCGGAGAGGAACTCGTCGAGTCGTCGCTAAACTCAACGAGTAGAGTCGTGGATAAGGACGAGTAAAGGGAAGGGACTCGACGAGTTGACGGCCCAACTCGGCGAGTCCGGTCAACTGGAAGTTGACTTTGACTTGGACTTGGTTAGGGGTAAAATAGTCATTTTACCCTATGGGTAGATATCAGATTCTGATTAAGTGTTTTGTGGGGATTATAGCCGGAGGACTTCCGGAGTAGCAGCAGTCAAAGATTCCCCACACGGATTATCAGCAGCTACTCGTTTGAGGTGAGTTACCTTCCAGTAGCGGTGGGTCTACGGCCACAATGCCGGCCCACCAGTAGGAGTTGTATGTTAGATGATTGTCTTTGTGATATCATCTAGTTTTGCTACTACCTGATATGTTATATGCTGGCATGATATGTTATATGTGATAGTAGTAGAGTTCGGTTGTTAGGACCGAAGGGTAGGTCAGACACCCCAGATATGTCTGATAGTATGTGATGATATGTTTATATGCTGGCATGATATGTTATATGTGATAGTGGTAGTAGGAGGGGAATAGTCCCCAAGTTCGGTTGTTAGGACCGAAGGGTAGTTCGGACACCCCAGATATGTCTGATAGTATGTTTATGTTATGATATATGTGATAGTAGCAGTAAGGGGTGGAATAGTCCCCGAGGGTCGGTTGTTAGGACCGACGGGTAGGTCAGCACCCCAGAATGGCTTGACATGGGTAGGTCAGCACCCCAGAATGGCTTGACATGGGTAGGTCGACACCCCAGAATGGCCGTACCGGGTAGGTCGGCACCCCAGAATGGCCGTATCGGGTAGGTCGGGCACCCCAGAATTGTCCGGCAGTATGTATGCTATGTGATTGTATGGTATGTGGTACGATGGGGGAACTCACTAAGCTTCGTGCTTACGGTTTACAGTTTTGGTTTCAGGTACCTCTTCAGCGAAGGGCTAAGAGCCGGCGCGGTAGTGGCACATCATACACACACGCATTGATTTTCCGCACTTGAGATATTCTGGGATTGTACTCTGACATGTTGCTATTATATGTTTTGGGTTTTCGGACATGATACATTGATTCACAAAATGATGTATTGTTTCGCAGTTTTCTTATGAATGTTTTATAATCTGTTAATTAAAATAAAACTTTTGGACTCAAAATTGGGACGTTACACATGCTTACCTACAACTTCTTCTCTCTCAATAGTATGATTGACTCCCTGTAAAACCCTAGACGGAGACACTGTTGTTGAAGACCTGCTCCCTTCCCTCACCCTATAGACTGCTCCTTTCCCTCACCCTATAGACGATATAGACGATATGTACCATCATTCAAGAATCAAATGAACTCTTGCTATCGAAAAATCTTCTATGTGATTATGGCTTTAGAGCGCTCTCATTGGCTTGGACAGAAGGTTACAATTTTATCCTCTTTGAGTTGATTTTCTTGCTGATAGTTAAATCTGAAGAATGCTTACTCATCTTCAAACTCATTTTTGATTGTATGGATGATTGTAGCATATTGCAAAACCATCTCCCCAATCGTAACTTGGAATCCTCCTGAAATTAAGATATGTAGCTTTCCATTTGGCGTGAGTGGAAATTTTCAGCTTTTGCTCACCACCCATTCGATGAAATGCCTAAGAGGTCTCGAGAAAAGTTGTAAGTGCATTAATGACAGAAAATTGATCATCCAAAAGCTAAAGTTATTTTATGAATAATAAATTCCATTGAAAGCTACATATCTTACTCATTTCCTCCATTTTAGTTTTATTGTTATTCTGATTGGAAATTATCTAGACAACAAATCCTTGCACACGTCGGAAAAAATGTGGTGTTTTGTTACTACTCTTGCAAAAAAAATCAAAGAGTTTACCGTCTTTTATTAGCCTATTTGAATTAAATATAAGTTTCAACTGTTTAGGGAGTAACCGTAAAGAAAAGGAGGTGGTAACCTCATATGTATCCTATTCTGATTCAATGAAATTGACATCTTCAATGTTGAGATAATTAATTCCAGGTCGATTGTGTGTAATTTAAATTGGCTTATTTGGTTTACCTCTTTGAAGTTTGGAACATGCAGAAACCTTATGGTTTAATGAACTTGACATCTTTCCTTGAACAAATGAATACGGTTTGGAATAGAAGTAGGATGTTATGTATAGTAAACAAACAAATGAACAAATGAATACACTTAGATGTTTATGTACAGGTATGATTATTCTTACTATAATATTTATAAATTCTAGATAACATAACTAGAAGTTGTATTTGAATCAAAATTATTGGTCCATAATTTTAATAAATGCTTTTAAGATACCATTGTTCATGGTTGTAAACCCATTCTTGATCATAGATTCATATCAAGCCTTTCATATATAATGGATATAAATTGTTCATTTCAGATTTCTTACCATTGCTTCTTATCTCTAAAATTGTAGTTCTTTCAAATTAATATTTTGTTTTGGAAAATTGAACGTGTTAGATTGAAATCTTGTTTATGTAAAAGCACTTTATTGAAGAGTAATGGCATACATGTAGACTATTTATTTATTTGCCTGTTTTTATTGTTATTTGTTGGGTTTCAGTAGTTCTACATATGTATTTAAATACAGGGAAGTTTTGTTGATTTTGAGCCTGTGGTTGTTGGAAAATCAAATGAGAAGAAGCTTCTGGGACCAGGAACGCTGCAGGCTTTCTAATTTCATATCTTAATATGCGGGCCATAGTCAAAATTGCTCATCAAATATACAAGTTAGATCCTCTAAATCCCAACCATTTGTAGCTATTAAGGGTAAGAACACCATTGTAACTTATCAGCCTCTACCTGAGTTTTAATAAAGTAGAAGCATTTAATTTTTAGGTTTTCTTTATTCTTTTTTGCAATTCTTTGAACAAGTTGAGAAACCTAAAATGTAATAAATTTTTTGACAGAGAAAACAAGTTGAGAAACCATCTGACATGTTACATATTTAAGATATAAGTGAACTAAACCTACCAACAATAGGCAACTTTTCATTTCCATGTCTTTCGATATATCATTAGACCCCATGGAGGGTATTACATGTAAATATGCTTTTTAACATGCCTTTTAAATCTCCATCTATGCACGAATAGTACAAGGCTTGGTAAATATGATTTTTTTAATATGCCAAAGATTATAGTTTTGCAGGATTCTGTACCAACCGGTCAACCTGATATTTTATGTTGACTATATTTTGACAGCCTCTTGTAGCAGTGACTTCATTTATATGTATGGATGCCTTCAACAACAAGTTGTCATTTTGTATCAGGTTTGCAGCAGGTTGTATGATGTAGGTGGTTGGCGTTGCTAAGATTCTTCAAAATGCATTGAAGGTAGTCTAATTTATGAGTGATCTTGAGTTTCTTAAATCTTATATATATATATATATATATATATATATATATATATATATATATATATATATATATATATTGCCTCCTCAAATTTTTGTGCATAATATTGATCTTTACGATTGTGTCCCATTTGCATATTAAAGTTATAGTTATTCTTTTTTCTATCTTTACTTTAAGAATCCTCAAATGGATCACACTAACTTTAATGAAAATAAGAATGGAATAGAATTCCTTTTGTCAATCCCAATGAATGGTGAAATCCATTAAATATGGAATTTGATGGGATTGAATTCTTTCCATTTGGCTTCCAATATGTCATGGAATGAAATCTTGAGTTCCAGTTCTGTCTGATTGGAATCCAAAACTAACACGCCTCATTATTACATTGGCTTTTTTGCAGGCCTGTTTTATTTATCTTCCCTTCAACGACATTCAAAAAACCATTTCATTTTTGCACCTGCAATTGAAGAACAACTAACGAACCGGTGAGCATCTTCGCATCATTTTTTTTTTGCTTTTGTTTGCTATCGTTTTTGATTTTCTGGTTTAACAGGTTTGAGTTTTTATATTTTTATTTCCCATCTACAAACACTTCTTGGTTACTCATCATCAAAGGTAAATCAAGTACAACCTTTTTTCATCACATGAGTTCCTTTACCTAAATTTTAAATAGTAAACTTTTAAGTATATGTACATATGTTGTTTATGAAACAAACATACACACATAAAATCTCTTAATCCCAAAACATGTATGAGCTCTTGATCCCCTAAACCCTTACTTTTTACTTAAAAGTCAAATGGGCTGGCTTTTCAATGGATTATAAACATCGCCAACCAGAACCCAACCAATGAAATAACTATTAATGTTAAATCTTTGCAGCATATAGTTTCAAATGCTATAAATTTGCAACGTCTTTCTCCATGATTCAACTAAGTTTACCTTTATTTTAAGTTTGGTGTTTACAAAATGTGAATTTTTTATTATGATTGATTCAAATACAAAAAATTTGACAACCTATTTTATGTGGGTTAGCTTCGGTCACTTCATAAAAAATATGTACTGATTGTTTTCTTTAGTTTAGATTTTTTGAGCAAACTGCATTAGATTACAATAATATAATACAATATTCCTAATTTGAAATTCCTGTAGTTGATAATGAAATTCTTGTTTGGTTCCTTTTGTTAAAACTTAGGAAGCAATCAAATGCATGCATTTCAAACAGAACCACATTGACTACATATGATGTAGATAGTGCAATCAGCATGAGAAATGTTGAGGTAGTCATTGTTTATAAAAAAAGATCATTTTTCTCCTTTTAGATTACAATAATATAATACAGTTTTCCTAAATTGACCTATTATTATTGTCAGTTCAACCAATCTATGGATTCACATCTGGAGATCCTTTGCATTTCAAAAGAGCCATTTGACACTAAGATCTATTTTACATTGATGACAAAGATGTGGATTTTAAAGATGTAATTGAAGCTCCATTACCAAAATCACCACTGGATACTTCAATCTGGTTAGCCATTGAAGGTGTACAACCTGATATTCCAAAAAATGCTCATGTTGAAGGTTTGTTTCTAACTTTATATATACCATCAGCTGTAAAAAGTAACAAAATTTTTGATTTTTAAAGTTTCAGAAATCCCCTTTTCTTTGTTAATTGTATTTTATATACTATTTCACTGTGACATAGCTAACATTTGTAGATATTATGGCTGACATTTGTAGATATTATGGGTGACCTGTAGTTATTGATCCATCGATTTAATGTTAATTTACTGGATTCGATTGCTTGATTCGATTATACCTCTGAATATTAATCTCCCTTTCACTATCGACATTCAATTTTAACTTATTGTGTTTATAATCTTCTGATTGTTGACGTGATTTTGGTTCTTCAACTTGAGCGCTTTTTAAATATGCAAATGATAGTTTCTATTTAATAACGGTTTTGAATTTTTCTACTGCGCACCCCAACTGATATAATGTCTGAGTGAAGTTTTTAACTTCTTTATGATAATTTAACAGTTTGCCGCCACAGAGATTAACGAAGGGGGACACGTGGTTCAGGGAGTTGTGACTCATGTTACCAGCTTTTTTCATTGTATGAGTAAATACTTTTCCTTTATTGGATCTAAATTAAGACCGGTCTTAATTCTTATATTTGTTCCCCATTTAAGTAAAAAAGAATCATGTGTCGTTACCAAGGGGTTGTTCCTTTTTTACTTATTGTGATAAATAGGTTAAACACTTAATGTACAAATTTGTTTCTTCTTTTGACTTAGTATGGACAAAATGACTTAAAGGATTAAGCCTAAATATCTGGTTTAATGTAAAAAACTATTAAGACGCCAACAATTTACCTATTTTATGTCCTCTTTTTCCTCCCAACTACTCTCATGTTAAAATTGATGCATGTTGTGAAAATTGTTTGTTGGGAATGTTAGGGTGAAATGGTTATTTTAGTTTCATTCAAACCAGAAAAGAAAAGAAACAAACCTTATGTATGCAGCAAGTTATCCACACAGACATCATTATCCATTTAGTCATTCTACCCATAAAATACTTAATGGAAAAAAGAAACAACCCCTAAGTCCATTTATTTAGTCAAAACTAAACAACACCTTAGTGTTCCGGAAAGATAAAAGCTCTTTTACTTTTGGAGCTTTTGGTAGAGCTAGATGGTGTTGACCAACGAAAGGGCGTTTATGTAATTGGTGCTACAAACAGGTGTGACATGTCATCTTTGATTTTCTTTATAAATTACTTTATTTATAACTGATCCTGTTTATTTAATTTTAGGCCTGAGATGGTGGACAAGACACTCTTAAGACCTAAAAGAATGGAGAAACTTGTGTATGTGCCTCTGCCAAATCCAGATGAACGTGGGTTGATCTTGAAAGCTCTTGCTAGGAATAAGCCAATAGATGCTGGTGTGGACTTGGTTGCTATTGGTTAAGAGTGAGGCTTGTGCATATTTTAGTGGAGCCAATCTTTTTGCATTGGTTCGCATCTCTTCCATACACATGCATATGACAAATTTTAAGCATCATAAAGATTTAAAATAACAATGGCTTTTCAATATGCCTATCAAACTATTTTAATTGAAACCAAAACTAATAATCATTTACTATCATACAAAAGTTCAGCATTTAATTTGATGAAAGATATAATAAAAATGTATAGTTAACAGTTACATGTTCAAAATATTATGAACTAAATGCAAGAAATACTATTTTTTTTGTTATCTTTTATCTATAACATTTTTTTTTGTTATTAGAGCATTGTGTGTTTCAATTATTTCTTATTAAGGAACTGTTCTTTAAAAAGTCAACTCACTATAGCTACATTTGGGCAGACATTCATATGCCAATGCTTTAATAAGATATAATTTGGAAGAACAATGTTGCAATAAGAAGAAAGGAAAGTACAATGCTGCAATAGAAGATTGGGTTAAATGCAAGAAATAGCGACGTACTTCCATTGATTTGTTTATTTTAGCATCCAATTTTTATTTATTTCTATTACAACGTTGTAATTTGGAAGATCTATCCGATGCTTAACAATGTCAACATTGCTATAATACACAAATAAATAAAAAATAGACAAAATTTCAAAAATGGTCCCTATAGTTTGTCATTTTATGTGAAGGAATCACCCATATCTTATCAGTTCTGAGCTCGGCTTCTATCAGCTTTTTCTCAGAATGGAAATCGAGTTTCTCAGTTCCTACCGAAGAGATTCGCACTGTGTACATAGGGGATTCAGATTCAAATGAAAATTTGGAGGGTGATGTATCAGATAAAACCTTATTATCCTCCAAGAAGATTCTTTATGTAGTCGAGAATGCAGGAAATGATTTGAATCTGGTGAGGATGGCTATTCCTTTGAGAGATATGGAGAGCAATAATTTGCTTGATCATTTAGATGTTTGTTTGGATTTCATTGATGAAAGTAGGAAAAAGGGTTCATTTTTGGTTCATTTCATCTATTACTTTCATGTTCATACACATGTATACTTCTTGTATCTATGTGTACCCTTTGTGTTAAAACTTATTTTCTTGATCATGTTTTGCTTATAAGTTATAAGTTATAATTTATAAATAAAAATCCATCTCTGTTTTATTTTTGTGCTTATTTAGTGTGTGTTCGTTGCAGTGCGGCCATCATCACAGCCTGATGAGAACTGAACGAATATCTCTAGAAGGTTTGAAAACAGCTAAAATTTTCAGTATTTATTGTCTTATTTATTAATCATTTTACATTTTCTTCCATTGGATATGAAATGTCTCTTTCCATTTTTGTCCACCTAAATATCCCTGGAGATGCACTTGAATCGTTATGCCAAAGCAATGAATATGTTTGCCCTAATGATGGATTTTTAGAACAGGTAAATAAAAATTAAATACAAATAATAATAATAATAATAATAATAATAATAATAATAATAATAATAATAATAAACTATACGAGTGTCTGGTTTTATATTTCATTTTCTGCTTGTAGTCGAGCATGTTTGAAGATATGGGTTTCAAGGTTGACCATTCAACCACTATATAGAAACGCTTCCATTTGAATGTTTTAGGTGCGTGTTTTCTTACCCAAATTCTTTAATTTCTTAATATATTTTGTAATTCTCAACATTTGACGTTTATGCCCTTGTGGTATTTAGGCGACTCATACAACCGAGGAGAGAAAATTGACACCATAAAGTTTGCTGCTGACCGTGGCTTGGCCAATAAAGAAGCTAGCATTGAGACCGTAACGGAATCATAGAAAGAAGTGATTCTGATTCAAGTATAAATATGTGATTGTATTTATTTCAAATTGCATTCGAAAACCGTTGTTTTTTCTCATGAAGATATTTTAATATTTTATATTAGTTTATGATTGAATATTTTGTTTATTTTGTCTATAGTTTTAATCTTCAAATCATGTTTTATTTTGTTTTATGATATTAATATTTTTTATTATATGTATTCAAGAATTTAATAAATTCATTTTAAGAGTTCTATGGACATTTGTATGTTTTTTATATGTGTTCCCTCACGTTTAACGCGGGTCATAATCTATATATATATATATATATATATATATATATATATATATATATATATATATATATATATATATATATGAGATTTTCATATATACAGGTTACAACTACGATTGGATATGGATCACCAAACAAAGCTAACTCGTATAGTGCTCATGGTAGTGCATTGGGAGCCAAGGAAGTCGATGCCACAAGGAAAAATCTTGGATGGGATCACGAGCCATTTGATGTACCAGAAGATTATGTCTACGTAGTCATGTGGATTGGGCTCATTGTGGTCACTATGATTATGTCTACGTAGTCGGTCCAGTGTGAAGTATATTGGCAACTTAGAGATTGCTGGAAAAATAGGTGTTTGAATTGTTTGTAGGCATTTGAGTCGACACGTCGCTTATGGTAGTGTTCTTGAAGCCGAATGGAATGCAAAGTTTGCAGCATACAAGAAGATTTACAAGGAAAATGCCACATAATTGAAATCTCTTATAAGTGGTGTATTACCTGTCGGATGGGAAAATGCTCTGCCGGTTAGTTTCCATCTATCTCGGCTTGTTCACTAAACTTACACGAATCCCCTGAATATTGAGATGAAAATTTTGATTTCTTGCGATCTTACACACCAGGTGATGCGATACAAAATTTATCGCAACAATGTCTAAAAGCACTAGCAAAAGTTCTCCCGGGACTCCTTGGAGGCAGTGCGGATCTTGCTTCCTCCAACATGACTCTTCTAAAATCATCCGGAAATTTCCAAAAGGAAACCCCCAAAGAACGAAACATCCGGTTCGGAGTCCGGGAACACGGAATGGGAGCGATCTACAACAGAATCGTTCTCCACACACCCGGACTCATCCCATACTGTGCAACTTTCTTCGTTTTCACCGATTACATGAGAGCCGCCATGAGACTGGCGGCCTATCAGGATCGAGAGTCATCTACGTGATGACTCACGATTCAATCGGTTTAGGCGAAGACGGCCCCACCCACCAACCCGTGGAACATCTATCAAGTTTCCGAGCCATGCCGAACATCCTCATATGCTTCGGCCAGCCGACGAGAATGAAACCGCAGGTGCATACCGTGTCGCTGTTTGAACACAAAACGTCCTTCGATTTTAGCGCTTTCTAGACAAAAACTTCCGAATCAAAATGGAACATCAACTGAAAAAGTGGAAAAGGGAGGGTATGTGGTGTCGGATAATTCAGTGGGTTACGAACCGGATACGATTCTGATTGGGACAGGATCGGAATCGGAGATTGCAGTTATGGCCGGGGAGGAATTGAGGAAGGAAGGGAAGGCAGCGAGGGTGGGTGTCATTTGTTTGATGAGCAGAGTGATGAGTATAAGGAAAGTGTGTTTTCAAGTGGTTGTTGGGGCAAGGGTTAGAGTGGAGGCGGGGTCCACGTTTGGGTGGGAGAAGATTATGGGGGCAAAAGGGAAGGCGATTGGGATTGATAGATTTGGGGCGAGTGCTAAAGCGGGGAGGATATATAAGGAGTATTGGATTACGGTTGAAGCTGTAATTGGAGCGGCAAAGGCAGTTTGCTGAATGTTATTTATGAATTTGGAGATGAAAATAAATAATGAACAATGGAAAATGGAAAATGATAGGTTATAATTTGAGAAAAGGTTTGGTCTACTATACGAATCTGAGTTACCATAAAAATTATATTCTGTATCAACTTTAAAAACATCAAGAACTAGAAGAGTCTGAAAAACTGTATAAAGTCAGTTGCAAGAGGAACAAGTTTATAAATCACACTCCTACAAACTACAAACCTTGCATCATCATGTACCAAACTTGGTAGTTGTCATTAAAAAACGTTACATGTCAAGTTGCTTTTGAGCAAGTAACCAGAAGATGATCATTGTTGGTCACCATTTCTGTTGTTGCTCTCCATTTCTTCAGCATCCTCAAACCTTTGGTCATTTATTTGAAGCTGTGTAATCATCAATATTGCATACTTTGTGTCAGTTGCATACATTTGTAAAAAAGTGAGAAACATTATTTAGACCTAGTCCCTACTCCCTACATTGAATAACATCTTCAGCTAATGTACATGGCTTAAACATTTTAAAACCTATGATTAAAAAGGAAAATAAAAACCGTGTGGTTCCAATTACAAATGGAATCAAGACAGACAGATGAAACAGGAAAACACTTGTCAAGAATTCAGTTATACATGAAAGCAAAGTTGGATTGGAAAAGTTGTGTAAAGTTCATACCTCAAGCACATTGCGTGCTAGATCATGATCTCCATTTGGATGACCAATTGTGGTGAAATGAGTTTGTGAAGAATCCCATTCCTGATCAACTCCATCTAAACATCAAAGTAAGTTGCATAAATATAATATAAGAATTAATTACATTAAATGGAATAAAGTAATCAGCATATAGCATAGGTAAAATGTGTTTATACCTATTATACCCATGGCAGGTCCCAGCTGATCTGCACTGAATATCCAATTATGCTCCTCAGGTTCATCCTCTGAAGAAAGAAGTAAATATCAGTAAAAAGTTCAAAAGGGCTTCAAATGTAAATTTAAGCAAGCAATATACCTTCAACAGGTTCAGGGTTGAGCTCTGCACACTCACAGAACACATCGAAGAGAGCATCCACTATCAACCAATTTAAGTTAATTTATTAGGATTGTGAAGTAATGTATTGAGATTTAAGATGGAAACTGACTTTTCATATTCTGTATGTATTGAAGTGGGATTTTGGAAGTATACATTGATTAGGGTCTGAAGGCACTAGTCTCATTTCGGTGATCTTTGATAAATCCAATATTTCATTAGATTCTGAATCTGAACTTTCATCATCATCATCTTCATCACCTGTATCAATCTAAAATAATAATGAATTACAGAACCTTCATTCATATCAAAACAGTTGTAACAGCAAAGATAAACTTCATCTCCAAATATTCTTAAACACAACACAATACATTGCAATTAAATACTGAATACTTCAGTGCAATCTAAACATAAGACTACCACAAGATAGGGCATCGATTCTTCCTCTCACATCGAGATAAAATACAGGCCAAAACAATATAAGTATAGTTGTGATAGAGGCGAAATACCTGTGTATATATGCAGGGAGATGTAAATGCCTCAGGATCCCTAGACACCGCATGAAGAGACACCGACAAGAAATCAACAGCGTAGCCTTTTGTCCTCTCGGTATCGCTCAACCATATCACTTGTCTACAAAATTCGAACGAATCTTAGGGAACAAAAATGAAGTTATTTACGTAAAAAAATGCAGAATTGTCAGAAGAGTTGGACATTTACTTGGTAGAGATGTAGAGCGTGCCAGGAGACTCGGGAGGATGGTTGCCGAGAACAATGGAAACGGCCGGCTGGACATGCATAAGCTCCTCGCCGTTGACAGTATCTAGAAGAGGTGCACCGGCGGCGCCGTCGTCCGATCTATCTGTAAAATACCTTAAACCTGCCACCATGATTTCCGCTGTCTAAAACCCTAGCTTACAATTCTGGACTACTGTGTTGTGTATGTTCTCTATAGCTTGAGAAAGTGGGAAGAACGGATAGTTTATTATTGGTTTATTTTTATTTTTATTTTATTTTATTTGTAGCCATTGATTATTATATAAATTGAGAAAATGACAAGTTTTTTTAAATTTTTTATTAATTAACCAAAATTAATAGTTTCTTTTTTTTAACCATCTTCACATTATGTATAAATTTTTTTAGATTTTTTTATTATTTTCTCAGGACACAAAATCACAGATGGCAAAAATGTCGTCTGCATTTTCACATCTACACATTTGCGATCTCATGCTAGCTTTTTCTTGATTAATATATGTGATTGTGCAAGTCGTTAATACACGGTTTACTTCTTAAAGGTTGTACAATTGCAGAGGGTCATGTCCTCTGTGATTTGGTCTTTTTTTTCACAATTTAGACAAAATAACTACAAGTTACTACTATATTTAAGTTGAATACAAACAAGAAAGTACAACATTGTTAATAGAAAACTAGTCTTATGCTATATTTTTAGGACTGAAAATGATGTTGAAATTTTTTTAGAGTTTAAATATATTATGATAATGGACCACAAAACCGCATATGGTCCATGATTTCACAATTCATTTATTGAGCTTGCAGGCAAGTCCTACTTATATGCAGTTGGTTAAAATTGAAAGTTTTTTAAATTTTTGGCTAATTTATGGAAAATGCTTTAGAGAAATGGCTAAATTTGTCCTGTTAGCATATGATATTTTTATATTGTCCTATTAGCATATGATATGCTTAAGAGAAATGTCTTCTATTTATCTCAATCACTAAAAGGTTAAATATCAAAAATCTCATCCAACTCAAGCCACACCAAATCAAGCTTTTCGTGTGTGATGATCAACGGTTCATTATGATCGGGACCTGAATAAATAATTGTTTTTCATTAAACCTCAAGCCCATGTTATATATCTTATCTCAAACCACGAACATGGTACTCCGTAATCAAAGCTAAATAGAGGTTATATATTTGCATTTATGTTTTTTATTCATCCACTTAAAAAAAGTATTTTGACTTTTATATTCTTAATCATGATTTTTTTTTTTTCTTTTTACAATCGAGGGTATAAAAGTTAAATTGCCTTTTTTTTTAAATGGGTGACTTCAAAACAAATATCACCTCGAAAGCTATACCATCTTTAATGACCCAAGCAACATTAGTTTGTGAGTACAAAGTTTTGAACCTTGACATTTTTTGTGTAATTCCGTATCTCAACTACTAGAATTTTATTGTAGGGACTTATCTATTTTTCATAATCGATTAAAATAGTTAGATGACTAAACTGATACATTATGTGTTTATGCAATTGCCCAAATCTGAATAAAGATGTAAATGTATATATCAACATCTTAATGTATGCACAAAATGTTACATTGAATTTGGTATTAAAAAAAATCTTTTGACAATGGAAGATGCACCGAGATCCTTACACGAATTACTTCTAGTTTCTTGTCCATACTTAAAGTTGATTTTGGTTGGATTATCCTCAACCTCAAGTGAATTTCGTAACACCCAATATTGTAGATATGGAAAAGGAAATCAATTGATAGATACCAAATTACCAGTGTTTTACATGAACATTTAAATCAAAACTATTCACAAGCACCCTGTTTAGAAGTAAGGCAAAAAAATGGATAAATGTGTGCACAAATTTCGGGTTATTCGCCAAATACAAATAGTTCATCAAAACTAGCAAGCAGAAAACTCTGAACCAGAGTTTTAAGTAAATTACCACACCAAAATATAAAATCTAAATAAGGCAGAGAAGCACACAGTATTTCATCAGCAGCATCTCTAACCTGCATAAAAACCAAACAGGATCATTCTCAAGTTATATTTTAAGCTAATAAGAGATAATCATGAGGGGGTTGCTTCATCTTAAAACACACGCAAAGACCCATTTAAGAAAAAAAAAATACAAGAAATTTTGATGAGAAACGTTTGTTTTTCGCACCAAATTGGAGTTATAATGTTCAAGGGAATGCGATTTGATTTGTGAAAAAAAGAATTATACAAAAGGGCAGATGCTATATCATTGAAATTAGCAAAAAAGGTTGGTGTTCAAAAAATGTAAAGAATTCAAATGGACATGTAATCTGGAATTACAGGATTTGGATATACCAAAGTATGAACCTAACTTTTGAGACGGGGGATCAACATGTAAAATGGGTGAAAATCAACAAAAATAAGTGTGTATTGATATATTTTCTATATAATAATTAGGTAGGTAACTCACAAAAAAAAAAAAAAAAAAACTAATGAAATACGTGGAGACACAAAATTTAAGATGTTTATGATAAAACGAAGGAGAAAATCGCAACTTACAAATCATTTAGCAACCATTCTTGCGATGAAGTCCTCATACTTGATTTTCCCATCGGATCCAACATCAATCTCTCGGATCCACTCATCGAACTCCGCAGGCTCTAGCTTCTCTCCGATGCTGGTGAGTATATGTTTGAGATCCGCAACGACGACGAATCCGGTCCCGTCCTTGTCAATAACCTTAAACGCATCACGAAGCTGGCGATCAAAGGGCTCCGGTTTGAGGTGCTTCCCCATTAGGTCGGTAAACCTGTTGAAATCAAAGGGAGATGTGAGTTTTTCCTCGGCGATTATGGACTTGAGCTGCGCTTGCGTAGGATTTCCACCGAGAGAACGCATAAGAATCCCGAGCTCCGATGGGGCGATCTTGCCATCGCCGTCGGTATCGAAGAGGGTAAAGGCCTCTTTCATGGCGGAAACTTGTTCATCGCTCAAATCTTTCCCCATTGTTATCGAATTTTTCTTTGATTTCGTTGAATCGCTCTCTCGTTTTCTGTGTCTGAATTATGTGAATGAATGTCTTGTAGCCGGTGATAGGTTCCAGAAAACATGTGTTCGGGAACAGAATCAATAACGTCCATCAACTGACTGGGCTGACAATTGCGACCAATTGAGATCAACTATGGGCTCATTTGGCCCATTACTTCTGGTCGTACCTTGTTGTTATTGCTAGGATAATTGATTTAGGGATTGTTTAACTTAATCAAATCTAACTCACCTCGATGGTTTGATTGGATTTAATTGATTTAGGGATTGTTTAACTGAATCAAATCTAACTTACCTCGATGGTTTGATTGGATTTGATGCTTTGACTGTATTTGCTTTTGACGAAATGTATAATGAATTTTGTCCAAAAGTGTCTATAAAAACCTTTTAATTAACTATAAAGAATGACAACGTAATAATGTTGATATCTAGTTGCTAGTATAATCAAATGAATTATATATAGTGTCACTTCTCAATTCAAATTTGGTAAGTCGAACTTTAATGCCTCTAAATTTATGTTACCGAAATGTATCATGAATTCTGTCCAAAAGCATCTATAAAACTTTTTAATTAGCTATTAAGAATGACAACGTAAAAATGTTGATATCTAACCGCTAATATAATAAAATAATTATTTTTAGTGTTACTTCTCAATTCAAATTGAGAAAGTTAAACTTTAATGTCTCTAAACTTATGTTATCGAAATGTATAATGAATTTCGTCCATAAGCGTCTGTATAAACTTTTATATAGCTATGAAGATTGAAAACGTAATAATGTTAATATCTAGTTGATAATATAATCAAATGTGACACTTTTGGACGAAATTCATTATACATTTCAATAAAAATAAGTTTAGAGACATTAAAGTTTTAACTTGCCCATTTTGAATTGAGAAGTGACACCGAATGTAATCCATTTGATTATATTAACAACTTTATATCAACATTATTACATTGTCATTTTTCATAACTAATTAAAAGCTTTTTACAGACTCTTTTTGACGAAATTCATTACACATTTCAATAACATAAGTTTAGAGGCGTTAAAGTTCGACTTATCCAATTTGAATTGAGAAGTGACACAAAATATAATTAATCTAATTATTTTAGCAACTTTATATCAACATTATTGCGTTGTCATTTTTCATAGATAATTAAAAGTTTTTTCCATACGTTTTTGGACGAAATTCATTATACATTTCTCTTTAGAAAAAACATAAGTTTAGATCAATAAAGTTCGACTTGACCAATTTGAATTGAGAAGTGACACCAAATATATACCATTTGATTATATTAGCAACTTTATATCAACATTATTAGGTTGTCAATTTCCATAGCTAATTAAAAGGTTTTTCCATATGTTTTTTGGACGAAGTTTCTGGACACGGACAAGTGAAGAAACAACCCTCAACATTTGATAACCACCTCATAGCAACAATCAGGTCCTTGACCCCGTCAAACTCTGGGGGCTTCGTGTTGTTGAAGTCTCAGTACTGAAATGACCCTCTCCCGTGGAGTCTTGCGGCAGCAACAACTACGGTGGCTGCAGCAGCAGCAGCCTCTCAGACATACCTAAACATCTTTGGGATCGCCTACCTAACATCTATGGTCAGTTGAGTGGTGATCATCTCACGAATCTCATCATCAGGCAAACGTGGCCTCTCCGGGCCGCCAGCTCCTGATCCAGAACCTCTGGTGATCAGCATACTGAAAACCAAACCGGAATACATTAAAAAGCCATAGTTCATACTATGACATCATTACGAAATCACTAAATCCACGGGGTTCGTGACTTCCTTGATATGCGTACGGGTCATGTGCTTTCAGTAGTACAGGCCTGTACTACCTTCCACACCTACCCGTATTTGTCTCAAAAGATCGTCACAGACCATGCAAAGCCCAAAAAACTAGGATACAGATACATCCTATACATACTCTCTCAAGAGTAGCTAATCCTTCCTCATGCTAGCCTACTACAACCCATACTCACTTATGAAACTTCTACTAACCCTAAAGTCGCTCGTGTATGCTAATCATACACAACATTGGATTCGATAGACAGTCGAATACATGATTCTACTCTAAGCCCACAACCAAACAAGGAACGGACATTATTGGACTATAAAATCTTAGTTATATACACCTATGATGCATACACCAAGCAACTACAGTAATAATATCAGGTCCATATAGCATAACAAGAAATTCTCCTAGGCTATCAGGCATCATACATCAGACAATTCTATCATGCAATTCCTTAATATCCTTAGCCTACATACTAGCATGCAATTCTATCATATCATCAATACACAAAACAAGTATGGGTATCTTGGGGAATCACTTTCCTTAGCTCCGAATGATTGTACACATCGAATCCTTTATGTCGGTTCTCTTTTAGAGTTAAATTTTTTGAAAATCATTATGTAGATCCTTAGTTTGAGTCTGGAATCACACAAGCGTTCATCTAACTCTCTCAAACCAGGACTTATCCCAACTTGTAATATCCCAAAAATCATGAAAAAAATCATTTATACCATTCCAGAATCCACAAATTACACAAAACATAGTTTCAAAAACCAAAATCATGAATCAAAGTATCCCAAAATCATAAGTCAGATAAAAATCCAGGATGATGTGCATAATCACGCCTTCGCCTTGCCTTTGTCCTCTGTTGTACCTAAAACCATAAAATCAAATTGTAATCCAAAGCTTAGTGAGATCCCCCAAAGCACCACACACAACAACATGATACAATGCACGCAACTAGGCCTACAGCACAAGGTTGGACCGCCACCTAGCCTTCAACTACAAGTTGGACCGCTCCCGAGCCTACAACATAAGATGAACTGCTCCCTTGGGCCTACAATATCAACTGGGCCGCCCAGGTATCTTGGCCTTCAACATAAAGAAGGATCGCCTCAACCCCACAACACAATAACATGTCGACATCTGCAATAATAATCAATAACCAGCAAGCACAAGTAATCATACACATCTAGCAGTCTAACATATATCCAGCGAACACATGTAATTATACAAATCTACTAGTCTAACATATAACCAACATGGCATCATCCTATATATCATGATACATAACCTAATGGGTCAACATTGGTGCCTTCAACCCACAAGTACAATGAGAAAAGCTCACCTCACAGTCTGGAAAATAGCTTAACCGATCACTACTCCAAATACTATCTCTACAGATGTAACGCTCGTGTTTCTGGCTAAGCATTATTATTATGATGTAATAGTTAGGGTCAACAATTGTAACCTATTTTGAAGTAATGAAGAAGAATTATTTGAGTATTATGTGATTTATGTGCAATATACGTGCTTATAACGATATAATAAAATAATAATAAAATACGTGTCTAAAATAAAATAATAATTAGACCTGATATCTTTGAATAAAGTTGAAGTAGTCATGACAAGGATTCCGGAGATATAAAGAACGATGAAATCTGACTTATAACGAAGAAGTTATGACCCGTCGAAGTTTCGCGACTAAACCAGCACAGCGCCGCGTATCGTAAAATGTAAATTCTTGATAAACTAGTTTTTAGCCTTAGTAATCTAAACAAAATTCGTAATAGACGTTAAACCAAAAACGTATATATAGAGAACGTCCAAATCTGACTTCGTCAGAGGAAGTTATGATTTTTCTAAGATTTAGCATAGTAGTACACAACCCGGAAAGCGAATTTCAGATCAATCGATTATTACCCGACACAACCTAAACTAGAATTAAAGATCTCGTTAACTGGAGCTCAACGATATAAAGACATTCGAAAACGGACGTCAGATGACAAAGTTATGAATTTTTAACGGACTTTAACTGTCTAAGCCTGTTAAAATATAACTTTAAAAATAAAATCAAAATTAACAGACGGGGTCTAAACGAAAGTTGTAGATCATGTCGCTAAATATGCGTGGATATAAATAACGTCAAAAACGAAGGTCGTATGCGAAAGTTACGGATTTTAGAAGATAATTAGTTTTTGCATTAAACCTCGGAGTGACACGTGGCAAGATATGGGCCACTACTTCTTTCGCACGGCTTGGAACGAGATTGAGACACGTGGCATGCGTACGCCCCAACGTACAGCCCAATTACGCCCCGCGTAAGTGGATTTCACAGCCTATAAATAGAAGGCGCAAATCACTCATTTTCTCACACCATTCTAACCCATTCTCTCTCAAACACCCCTAAACCCTCTAAGCCTTTCCCTAGCACCTCCTAGTTGTTAGTAGCGAGTCCCGGAGCGCCAAAAGGCCCCGAGAAGAAGAGCTTCCGGCTCAGAAGTTCTGCCCGCGTAGAGCTTGGTTCCTCGCTAAACCTCCTTGTAAGTGAGTTATGCTTACCGTACTTTAAGTATAACTTATGTTTAAGTTCATTATCGTTATTATGAACCTATAAATGTAACATCCATAAAATTCATAAAAATTTCAAACTTTTTAAATATCCCAAAAACCACTCATTGTTTACAAATTGTTTTCAAAATAGTTTAACATCAGAGAAATCCCAGAAATCATAACACAAAATGTGAGGAGGTGCACGATCAAGCCTTCGTCTTCCCACGATCATCCGAAGTACTTGAAACATAATCCAAAACTATAAGCCCCCCAAGCTTAGTGAGTTCCCCCAAAATACCAACACCATACAACCAGAACAATGTCATAAACACACAATATGCATACAGAGTCTTCAGCATGACTGGACCGCCTCACCGGTCCTACAGCCTATCTGGTCCACTCTCAGAACCTTCAGCATGTCTGGACCGCCTCACCAGGCCTTCAGCCTATCTGGACCGTTCTCCGGGCCTTCGACCTGACTGGTACGCCCCTTTGGGCCTTCAGTCTATCCGGGTCGCCCTGGGTCCGTTGGCCTTGAGCACAAAGCAGGACCGCCTCAACCCACTCGTCATCACATAATATAAAATAATATCAAACTCTAGCTAGCACATACAGTTATCATATAGGCCTAATAGATCATCAATCATAGCATCATCTTAAACACTAGAATACAGATCTACCCGATCACTATACATAGTATCATACGATAAACCAGGATACAATCCAAAGCGCCAACATTGGTGCCTTCGACCCTGTCAGTATAGTGAGGAGAACTCACCTCACAAGTAGTGCTGGACCGGTAAGATCAAAACCCAACTCACAGCTCTAAACTCAACTGCCTACAACCACGATGTAACTAACTTCATTAAAATCCCGAATACCAAAAATACCCCTCTAAGTCAAACTTGGTCAACCATGGTCAAAGTCAGAGTCAACAGTCATAGTCAACAGTCCATGTTGACCCAACTCGTCAAGTGCATATTTTTGACTCGTCGAGTTCCTTCAAAACTCAGAAAACCAGGAAAACCCTAGTCAACTCGCCGAGTCGACAGGACAACTCGTCGAGTTCGTGCAGTATCCAGAAGATCGGGGAAACCCGAGTCAACTTGCCGAGTTGACAGGGTAACTCGTCGAGTTCTCCTAGTCTTAACACATTCAACCACTTTTCCAGCGAGTCCAAAGCCCCAAACTATAGATCTGATCCCCTAGGGTGAAGATATCACGTAAAGTTGCTAACTTTACGTCCATGCATGGCATTAAGGGGGCTAAAACACTCAAACATAGCTCATTAAGAGATTTAGGGCATGAAGGAGGGCCAAGACTTGATAAAGTTGGCAACTTTAAGTCTAAGGAGGCCATGAGACGTCCAGATCTGAAGCCATAGCTTCATGACATGCTCAAATCCAAGAATGACCCCAAAATAAGCTAAAAATGACCATATACTTCCATAGGAGAAGATCTAAGCAATAAAAGGCCAAGGTATACCTCAAAATGGTTGCCACAACAGAGTAGACACCAGATCTACAGCCTCTCCCTTCATCTATGCACCACCCACTTCAAGCTTCTTCAAAATAAACTACCAAAAAGGCACTCTTTAAGCTCTCACACACTCAAAATGAGAAGAAATGCATGAACTAGGGTTTTTATGGGCAAGGAGGCGATAAGGGAGGCTAACAATGAGAGTTAAGGCCATTAAATAGGGTGCAAACCCTGAAAATTAGGGTTTTCATGTTCCTCCTTCAACTCGTTGAGTTGCCCTTAAATGTAAATATAAAAAGCTTGAAATTTGTACCTGAAGATTGGGATGTTACAACTCTCCCCCACTTGAACTAGGCTTCGTCCTCGAAGCCTGCTGCAGTGAACAAATCCGGATAATGCTCCCGCATTTCCGCCTCCGGCTCCCAAGTCCACTCGGATCCCTTCCGATGTTGCCACTGTACGTTTACCAAAGGTATCTCCTTGTTACGCAGAACCTTTATCTTCCTTTCTAAGACAGCCACCAACTTCTCAACATAATTCAGATGTTCGTCGACCTGAATGTCATCCAATGACACTACCACATCCTCGTCTAATATGCACTTTCGTAATTACGAAACGTGGAAGGTGCTACGAATCTGGCTGAGCTCCTCCGAAAGATCCAACCTATACGCCACCTTGCCAACCCTAGAAAGAATCTGAAACGGTCCAATATATCGGGGACCCAACTTTCTGTTGGATTAGGTGTCTAAGTCCATAATTATATGTGATATGTATTTGACCCGAAAGTAGCATGGTCCTTTTGGGTTGCATTCACCAGAGCAATTTGATAGGATTGATATTTGAGAAAGAGGTTATTTATGATTTATTAATATATTATAAGTATAATATATTAATTGAGAAATCATATTATTTAATAAGTATTGATAAAAAATTAGTTTGGAATTAATTTAGTAATCAAAAAAGACTAATTAAATTAACGGAGACTGATTATTAAATCAGTGATACATATGGTTTAGACTATTGATTCATGATGGACTAAGTTTATGTGAGAGTTCATGAAGAGTTAGTCCATATGAGTTATTGGACCATACAAATTGTTTTGGATTGCTTATTTAGAAGAAATGATGTTTATTTATATAATGTTTATTGGTTTTTTCGGTGTTAAAACGGAGTTTACAATAGTAAATTATTTTATCCGCTATTAAAATGAAATAAACCGGCATAAGCTATTTGAGATAAGTTAGAACACATAACTTATTACAAAAAAGAAAAAAAGAAAAAAAACTCTTTATTTAAATTAATAAAATCTTTTAATTTTAATGTATTCGATCACTAAAAGGCAAAAAGGTAATAATAACAAATATCCTGCTATTTTGTGTTTCTGTTCGTTTTCCTATTTTGTATTAAAAAAAAAAATCTATGTTATTATTTTATATTAATAGTAACAAAAATTAGAAGGAAAATCTTTAAAGTAATATATCCAGATACACCCCATTAATATCATCGTCGACGACTTCTTCACGCGTCACACCTCACAACGCTCGTTTTGGCGGTTTCAGATGTGTCTACGTTGAAGTTCATATAGATATAATCACGTAACGAAGTATCTCTCCAGATATTTTCAGAGAAAGTAATTCAGATATATTTAGATACACACAGAGTGGGTGAGAATTGAGATTGCAGCAGGTATGGGGAACGCATCGTGTATTCTTGTGGGTTGCATAGACCAAGCAAGTGTAGGGGTTGTTGAAAAATGGGGTCGATTCGAGAAATTGGCTGAGCCAGGTCTCAATTTCTTCAACCCTTGCGCCGGTCAATATCTCGCCGGTGTTCTCTCCACCAGGATCAACTCGCTTGAAGTCAAAATCGAGACCAAAACCAAGGTTTTCTTTTCTGTTCCTTATAACTCACATGATCTATGAAATTACCTTCTCATGTATCGATTGTTATTTTTTGACCTATGTTGTGAGTTTAAACCCTTGATAATCGTACGATCTGCGATAGATTATCAAGTAACTATCATATGAATTGGTAGGTTGTATATTGTGATTTAGATCATAAGAAGCTAGAGCTAGGGTTCATTTTCCTGGAGCTGGCAAGCACAGTGAATTATTTCAAATGTTGAACTTCAAGTATCTTTCTCTTTTGCAGGACAACGTGTTTGTTCAAATAATTTCTTCAATTCAATACCGAGTAGTAAAGCAAAACGCTGATGATGCATTCTACGAGTTACAGAACCCTCGTGAACAAATTCAATCCTATGTTTTCGATGGTGATCTTCTTAGTTCTTACACTCATGTCCATTTTGCTTCTACAAAAATTCCTCCATAGTTTCTATCTCATAAACCAGTGGTATTCTTTCAGTTGTACGAGCTCAGGTTCCAAGGATTACTTTAGATCAACTCTTTGAACAGAAAGATGAAGTTGCAAAAACCGTATTGCAGGAACTCGAAAAGGTAAATTCATATCTTGCGTTAGGTTTTCTATTATTTTAAAGAAAAAGTTTATATGATTTCGTGGGATCATTGTATTAGGTTATGGGAGAATACGGGTACAACATAGAGCACATACTGATGGTGGACATTATACCTGATCCTTCTGTGCGTAGAGCAATGAATGAAATCAATGCAGGTCTTGCTTTTTTCCTATGCACTATGCACTTTCATATTCTTTTTCTTTTTTCCATTAATTCTGTATGGGTAAAGTGGTTGAATGTGTAATCATGTTTGTGTTGTGTATACATGAGGTATGTTTCTTTTCTAGACTGAATGAATGAGACTATATGACCATTCTACCCTTCCATTCAAAAAAAAAAAAAAAAAAACAAATCTCGTGATAACTTTTTGACGAATTTGTCCTTGTATGCAGCACAAAGGCTTCAGCTTGCAAGTGTGTACAAGGGAGAAGCGGATAAGATTCTTCTAGTGAAAAAAGCAGAAGCAGAAGCTGAAGCCAAGTATTTGGGTGGAGTTGGTGTGGCAAGACAGAGGCAGGCGATAACTGATGGATTAAGAGAGAATATATTGAATTTCTCACATAAAGTGGAAGGGGCGTCTGCAAAAGAGGTGATGGATCTGATTATGATAACTCAGTATTTTGACACGATTAAAGATCTTGGGAACTCATCAAAGAACACCACTGTGTTTATACCACATGGGCCTGGACATGTGAGAGATATTAGTGATCAGATTCGCAATGGTCTAATGGAAGGGAAAGCAGGGTCTAGTGGTGCCCATCATGACTGATTGTACTCTGTACAGTTTTTGACATGTACTGGATCTTCTTTTTCCTTTTTATGAATTTTTCATTACTAAATAAAGAACGATAGATATGAAGTTGCATTTGTCCAAGGTGTGTGTTTGTGTCTTTGCTTTGAGGTGGATTTTACTTTGTTGATATGGAAGTTGACAGTTTGATATTAAATATTTTGTTAGGTGTTTACTACTCATCCACTATATTGTTTATAGATCTTTACTAGTTAAAAATGTTTTGGTTAAAACTTGAAAGTATGTGTTCTTTTTTTACTTGCTAGTTCTTTAAGGTTAGGCGTAATGGGATCTGACAAGCTTTATAAGGCTATTTTTATGATAAAATTGGGGAACTTTATACGGCTATACGCTTCTTTGCATTGCATAGATGGAAAGCACGTCTTTAGGGCATCTCCAACCCAACATCGAAACCTAACACTAAATCAAATTTTACATTAAAATCTATATTATAATGTTCCAACCTTACACTAAACTTAACATTATATACTGTTATATTATTCATCAATATTATATTAGTGTTAAGTGTCAATAGTATATATTAGTCCTTGAAATTTGAACTTAAATACTTTTAGTTTATTTCTTATATAATTACAGTTTATACTTAATACTTTTATGTATATTATTATATTTAATAAGTTAAAATACAATACAAGATTTATATAAAACACATAATGATATATATTATAATCTTAGTAGTATAAAAAAAATACAAATGATTTTATATGTTATTTTACATAACATGATAATTGATGATGAACATGATTTTGATGTACCAATTGAAGTTGTAAGAGAAGTATTACAGCTAGATGTAGAAACAATGATAACGAATTTCAATTTTTTTTGCTTGGTATAGACACATCAATGATAAAGAAGCTCATTTCGATCTACAAAATGCATTAATTAACCACTTATGAGAAAACATTTCAATTCATATATATATATATATATATATATATATATATATATGTGTGTGTGTGTGTGTGTGTGTGTGTGTATTTATTTAAGTGTATGTGTAATATTTCCAAAATGCATGTATGATATTTATTTTGATTTGTGTTAAAATGTTATTTTTTTTTATTTAATAAACGGGTTGTTTCAATAATACGATAAGTAATTATATATGAATAAGTAATTATAGTTATAGATTTTTAATAAAACAATTTATATAGTTATATTAATAAAAAAGCTATGGACCTAGTTTGCAAAATCTTAATAAATATAAATGATTGTTTTTGTAAAATTATAAAAACTAAATAAATATGAATATACCGAGAATATTTTTTTAGTGTTAATAGTATAATGTAATAGGTTGAAAAGGTTTAGAATTAACACTGTCTGTTGCACTATATTATAAGTTTTAGTGTAAAAGATAATGTCTTATGAGTTAGAGATGTCTTATTCTACTATCTACTGTTATAATTGCAGTCCATTAACATCTAGTGCAATAAGTTGAATACATATCTCGATTTGTGCTAAGTTTTCACCTAATATTTTCGTCTACATCCGGTGACTCCATATTATTGTGATTTTTCCTAGTCTATCACTCTACCTCCACCATTACATGCACAATCTTGGTTTCTTGACGTGTAAAAAATGGTTATTGTCACATCTGATAGCTCGCTCACTAAATGCCTTCAACTACTACACCTTGGGCACATTTTAAGGGGTGATAGCTCTGTTTCCACCTAAACACGCTTTGCCATGACTTCCACAATATTAAAATAATTTTATTTATACCACAACGGCACTGACAATGAAAAAAACTTGGCAGCACCATCGCTCTTCTCTAGATGCAAGAAATCAGAGTTTCTAAAACATGCAAATGGGCAGGATGCAACAGATGAAATATATATATATATATATATATATATATATATATATATATATATATATATAGTATTTGATATTGATATTGATATAGATAGATAAATAAAACAAGTGTGTGTATCATATATGTATATTCTTAAAGTTGAAGAAGCGAGATTTATAACATGGCAACTAAAAAAATAAATAACGATGCCTCATGGCTCAAGGCTCATGGTATAGATAAATTTCTCCCGCAACATATAACAGAGGATATCTTCATCCTTATCCTTATCCTTATCCTTAAGATGCATTTTAACTCACTCTACTCAGTAGTATGTTCTTTGACTAGTACTGTAACCACCTCCACTGTAACTCCCACCACCACCACCACCACCCTGCATTTATCAAACAAAAAAGTAAACCACCAACCTTCAATCATTTCACCATTTGTGTGTGTGTGTGTGTGAGAGAGAGAGAGAGAGAGAGAGAGAGAGAGAGAGACCTTGTAGTAGCTTGTGTGATTTCGCACTTGAAAGGCTGAAAGCGGTGGACCTATAATTTAAGAAAAAAAAAATGTTATGATTTGGTGATATCTATTAAACTTTACAATAATAGTGGAAACTGATAGTTGGTTAAAAATTCAGAGATACAAAGAAAGTGGGTAAAGGATTACCTCCAACATAAGTAACAGCAGCACCTCTGCCATCATGACCAGCACTTCTACACAAGTCACAAAAACATTTTGAAATGTAAATATAAATTGGAAAACAAAACACAATTATTATTATTATTATTATTATTAATGTTGACCTTGGGATTGGGAGGAGAGAAACATAAGGATCACGTTCACGTTGAAGGATTGAAGATTGTTGTTGATAGGGTCTGTGAGTGTAAGATTGAACCTCAGGTACAACAGAAGTAGTCTCGATGTTATAGCCTCTGTGAGTATGATAAGACTGAGATTGGCTCATAATGGGACGATCTGAATATCTTGAATGACCTTGATTTTGACTTTGACTTTGACTTCCAAGGTAGACAGTTTGATGATGATGATGTGGGTGGTTATGGTTATGGGTGGGTTGAACATATCCTGAATATGATCGACTACTGTGTGTAGCAGCAGCACCAGAAACAGAAACAGGTTCAATGTATCCAGCATGTGCTTCCTACATATACAATCATTGCACCTTTATTTTTTATCAAACACCACACCAGCCACATCAATATTTAAACAATCCCAAATACCAATGTACTTCAACTTCTTTCTAGTACACACTCATTTTATTCTTATCAAGACATACTAGTTTGAAAACTCTACTCATCGGATACATTGCTATAAGCCAATAATTGGGTAAATTTCTCAAAGTACAATGCTATGATTATGATATCAATCGAGCCATTTCTTGCATTTAACTAATTTAAGCCTTTAAAAATAATAAATATATAAGAAAATCCATAGTACCATCTCCTTGAAGCGTCTAGTAGACAATGAATCAGGAGGCAGACGATAAGAATCAGATGCAGCAGCAACAGCAACAGCAACAGCATATGAATGATCCATGTATCTGGTGGTGCTTCTGTAATCATCATGTCCATGCCCATGCCCTCTTCTAATACGATTATCATTCCTAATAACATTATCTCTCTCCCTTCCAATTGCATGCACATTGCCTATAATTTTCAATGTATTGTAAATGGGGTCAAAAAACACTACATTGCTATTTCTTGCCTTTAGACTGCTGGTATACTCCTAAGTCCTAATCCCAAGTAGTGTTAACAGTATCAATTCTGGTTCTCTCAGTGTGGCTTCTTAAGTAGAGAATAGAGATAGTGGGGGGCAATAACGTCTTTTAGTCAATTAGGATAGGTCGGTTGAGTGGATCATCATCATCTTGGATATTCCTTTTTTAGTTCATTCATTCAATTTCCAGTTTTTAACAATTCAAGTGTACAACAACTGGCTAGGAATAGCAAAGCAAGAGGACATAAATAGTAATATACCTTTCTGTTTCTTGAAAGCCTTTTTGTTTTGAGGGTTTCTGTTACCTCCATCATGCTTCGGGGCCTTTCTTTTGTGATTTCCTGGTTTGGAGGCGGATTTACTATTTTGCCCTTCACCCCCGACACCAAATTTTGGTTTTTTTGTATCACCATGTCTCAAATTGGGAGGAGCATTCACGTTATGGTCAGACGATGCTTTTCTTTTCTTATTAGAACTTTCACCATTTTTTATACTTCCCTTCACCTTATTTTTAATGGTATCATTTTTATTTCTTTTAGCTTGCTGAGAATTCAAACCACCTTTTGTTTTTATTGGTTTAGGTTCTGAAATTTCTTTAGATTTTCCACCCTCTGTATTCGATGTTGAGGCTTCAACTTTGAATCCCCCACCAAAACCATGCTTCTGAGATTGACTCTTAGAATGAGGCTTTGAAATGTTGGCTTTGATCTGAGGTAACAAATAATAAATCCGAATGATGTTTCATACTAGAAATATAATATACACACATAGCGTTCTTTTTTAGTGAATTACAAAAATGGTCCCCGTTGTATGCAAGGGCAAAATGGTCCAAAAATAATATGATCATGTGGTATTTTTACGGTTTTGTTCCAAAAAAAAAGAAGAGAAAAATTTGTCATTTTACAAGGTTAACAACACATGGACCAAAATTCGATATAAAACCTTGCAATAAGGACCAAAATTCGATATAAAACCTTGCAATAAGGACCAAAACCTCAAAAGGTTTCAAATTTGGACTAACCCCTGTAAACAACCACATACCGGAGGGATCGTTTTTGTAATTTACTCTTTTTTAGAGAGGAAGTAAACATCCATACCTTGACTTCGCCTCCAACACCAGCATTGTTGATACCCTCAACACAAGCTAAAGCATTTTCATTTGATGCAAAAGTGATGAACCCAAAATCTTTATTTTTGGTTCGTGGGTTTAGGCATATATCAACTTTAAGAATCTCACCATACTTTTTACAAATCTCCTTCACCTTCTCTTCATTCCAATCTTTAGTGAGTCCTTCCAAATATACCTTTTTGGCCTAGAACACAATAAGAAACACATTAATCGATTGAGCATGGAAACAGGGAATTTTAACAAGTTTTATCATGCCTGTGACAAATCTTCATCATTGTGACGCATAGGTGTTTGAGCAAAGGCAACCTTAGCACTTATATCACGCCCAAAAACCGCATCTGGCTTTTTGAGTCGTTGAAATGCTGCTACTGCATCTGAATGTGTGGTGAATTCCAAGAAAGCAAAACCTTTATTTTTCCCTTCAAGCTTGGGATTCTCTGGTAAACGGATCATCTCAATATGCTCA